AAAAAATTAGGACAAGCCTAAACCACCAAATCTGGGTTTAAGTTTCAAGCCCACACATCTGATCCTCAGGACAAAAGAGACTTGAAACCATGGTTTTGGTTCTGCTTACAAAGATAAGAGGAAGTTGTAAAATAAAACCAGATCTGAATCTGAACTTAAGCTCACAGCTGTTTAAGTCCATGGCTTTTGGGGGCCCATCACTAGCTAAAATCTAAAGGACTGAATAGACCTGAGATTTCCCTGGGCTGATTTTGGCTAAATCTGCTAAATACTGGATCTTTTCAATGTACCACAGACCCAAGGGGCTGTGCTCAAGTATTTATTCCATCACCACTTTTGTAGAAAGCTGAAATGAAGATGAAACATGGTGATTTAATTTTGAAGAGTAAGCCATAATTACTGTAAAGACTTTATGGCAACAACAAAAATAACTTGCATTACTTGTCATTGCTGATCAAGTTGAAATAAAGGTATTTATTATAAGAAATCACTATAATTATTTAAGGAAAAATACTTAGGATCTGTGTAGTGTATATGYAAATCTACTAGTCATCTTTTCCCAAGGGCTGAAAAATTGCAAAATCCTTACTTGCTGTATTGGTACCCCATTCACATCTGTCATTACATCAGTGATCTGATTTGTTTGGGAATGCTAAGACTCAGAACATAATTCTGCACTTAGCTTAAATAATTCTAAAATGCAGGTTATCACAGAGGTAGATGATAATTCAAAACTTCTTGCTAYTGCTAAGCTATTTTAGCTCCTCTCACTGTCAAAGCCAAGTCAAACACACCTAAATTAAAATGCCTATTTGAAGTGTCTCAAAATACAACAGAAAGATTAATGTATTTTGTTTTCTCACTTGATTTTTGGTAATATTTTTTCATTTTTCATATGCTGAACCAAAATCCCTGAATAAAAGTAAACGCCTTCACTAAGGCTGCACTGCTTTATTACTGCTGGGTTTTTATCCATCAGACAGCTAGAGAGGAAAACAAGGACCACAACCCTTCCATATTGGAAATGTTGGCTAAATGGGCCATTTCCTTTCTTTCACCATTGTACTAATTTTTCTACATTTACACATGCGCAGATATAGGTACGCATACATACACACAACACTACTTCAAATCTAGTTTTGGATGCTATTAAAATTTTCAACAACCCAACATTGCTGCCTTTACTTTTTCCTCTTCCCCGTCCTTAATAACTCRTGTAAAACAGACAASAATTGCTGTGCAGCCTCTGGACCCSTCCTGGCAGCAAATGGAAGAAACACAACTATGGAATGGGCACAGCAGACACCCATTCATCTGACCCATGCTTGCCAGGCATGACCTACATCTCTTAAGAGCACAAGGAAACCTCACCTTAGCAGCACCACAATACACTAAAACTGGCCTGTTGATCTAGAAACACATCAAGACAAAAATAAAAGTCCCAATGATTAATCTRCAAAGTTCCTCCCCAAATATTCAACCTATTGAAACAGATATATTTTCACACAAACTAGGTTCCCTTCTTGATGTTCTGCTCAAAGGGAGAATTCTCACTTCYCTTGCAGGTATCTTCACTTTCTGCTTCTCCAGTAATACATGCACACATACAATTTCTGTGTGCAGCATCTTCTAAAACATTGTAAGATCTAATTAACAACTAGAGGTAACATTACAACATCTCCAGTGAGTACTGGAGACCCTGGAATTGGTTTCCACTCAATGCATCACTCCCTGCAGTAATATGCAACCTCCCAACTAGGAGATTTAGATCAACTTCATCAATTTTGCTCTCACCTTCAACATGGCCCCAAGTACAGAAACAGAAGCCCTTGAACACAAGCCCAGAGCAAAAATTCAAAGGAGAATGTCTAGCTCTTGTTATAACCAAATGATTTAAGAGTCTCCATTTTGAATATCAAGCAGCTCCAGAGGAAAGGGTCAGGTTTCCTTGTTGCTGCCCGCCTTTAATCCTCACCATCTATTCTTGGCCATCCTGCAAACAGAATCAACAGCAGCATAGCTGCATCACACTAACGGCAAACTGGCTTTCTGAAGAAACTTCTAGTATTTACATCTTCTCCTCACACCAAATAGCATAACTCAAACCAGCTTTTTTTATTTTCCTCATTCAAATAAACTTTCTTATCCCAAAAAAAAGCATCTTCATACCCATTCTCCACAGCTGTTCCCTCTGTTGCAGGGAAGAGCTAACAGGTTTTGGACTGTTTGCTGCTGCACACCACAYACTTGTAACATCCACCTAAATGAAGCCACTGTGGACCAATTATGAAAGATCTGTTATTCCATTTGGAGTTAGTCACTGGGGGATTTGATTTTTGATTTGTTTTCCTCTGAGGTTTTTTGGAAGCACTAGTGGGATGAAGTTTAAATTAAATTRGGACCATCAGCATCCCAAAGACAACTATTCAGTAGCACACATTTAATATTGATTTAATATGATTATGTGGGCTGTTTGCAACCGCAGCTGTCTAACTAATGCCACTTAGACACAAAGTACTTTATATATTCATTACCAGGAATGTTAGAATATGAACCAAACCAAAACACAACTAAATAATACATACAAATATGTAGCCTTGAAAGCTACAGAAAAGTTAAGAATTAAAAGCTGCAGTTTTCAATTAACAGAGACAGCTGAGGTGGATTGTTTTGTGCATTGCACGCATAGTCTAAGGCGCCACTGGATAAATAATTACAATATTATAGAATAACCAAAACAAGTGATAAACCAACCATTATACTACACAAAATGAATCACTAATAAAACTGCATCAATGCCACTTATCTTTGAGCACAACCTCTTATTCCTGGGTGCTTCCAGAGCTGGTTACATCAGCCAGTTCCAAGATCCTGCTCAACTTTGGAGGGCAAATTATGAGGGCACAACATAGCTGTTTCATAAGTATCTCTTACCGCTATAACTATCAATTCAGTGGGGTGAGAGTGAGGTGTAGTCTTCTAATCCTATCAAACACCATAGAGAAGATTTTTGGTAATGTAAGTGCCAATCCCAGCTGTGGTTTGTAGCCACACGTGGGGCCATATGCCAGGGCCTTGCTCAGAACTGGATACAGCAAAGTCCAACCACGTTTGTTTATTTCAAAAGGGCTATCCTGAGCATGGACTTGATTTAAATAAATAAAGTGGGTGATAAATAGAAGTAGGATTGTGCAAGAGAATTCAGCGTCAACGACTGATCAATAGCATGCCCAGAGTATGTCAAGCACAGGGATTAGCAGTGACAACTTTTGGCCCATGAGGGAAGAGTGTGGATGTTGTTTTACCTGAGGCAGACACTGTGGTTGGGCCGCACAGCACCCAGGGGTGATGACACCTCAGCAGCACCAGCACCGGGGCAAAGTGCAGCAGCCACACASGGCAAGGCTGGGGAGCAGCAGCACCCAGAGCCCCGCCAAGATGGCGGCCCGGCCTGAGGGAGCCCCGCCCGCGCCTCCCGCGGGAGCGAGCGGCCGCTGGGCGGCGCTGCCGAGTGCCAGGCGCGGGGTGCGGGCACGGGGCGTTGGAACGGGATGGAGGAGGCCGGACCGCACCGATCTGTGGCCGCCGAGCCTGGCCACGTTCCCGGCTGCCAGGCGGCGAGTGCAGGCGGCGCTGCCGGTCTCGGTGATCCCGCAGCGCCGAGCACTGGCGGCTGGCCGCGGGAGACAGCGGGGGCCGCCTGGTGCAGCTCCGAACCGGCCGCCGCCCGGTCTGGGCACGGTCACGTCCGGTGTCTGTCGGCTGACAGCGAGCAGTTCTGCCAGCGCTCGGGAAAAATACCAAAACATTCCCAAGGTTCTTCCGGGCAGTCTGCAAGGAAAGGTTTCGCAGTGGCACCGCCGGGACGGAGCCGCGGTGATCGGTGGCACTGTGACACCGCAGGAGCGCGGTGATGCCAGCGCGGGGAGCAGCCGTTTCAACCCCGGTGGGACTGCAGGGGAAATCAGATTCACTTCAAGTCAAACTGCTCAATCCCCGGTCAAGAATAGTTTTCAATCAAGGGTTTTTGAAAGAAGCAGACCGCTAATGTCAGGCTAACAAAACACGTCCTTTGCTTGCACCACCTCAGTGTTGGGGATGACATGGTCAGATCAGCGTTCCTGTAATTTAGCCACACATATCCATACTCTTAAGGCATTTGACGCTTTTGCCGAGCTGAAACAAATCTCCAGGTYCTGGATGGCTGATGGCTGTACTGAGGATGAGTTCTGTCAAGCCATCAGTAACATCTTTCCAGGTAATGAATGTCCCAAAAGATTTTCCTGCTCACWTATATCTTTGAGATGTATCTTGTTTTGTCTAAGGGTCTACATTAAAATACCAATAAAAGTCTCATTGGTTAAAGCAATTGCTCCACATGAAAGTTCCCAGCCTTTAAAATGTCCCCAAGAATAATTTTTAAAGCATGATGGTCCACAAGAACCATTTTCAGGCTAAATATGTATTTTGTTCATATTGGTATTTTTGGTACACATCAATTTCAGTCGGTTTGGGGAACCTGATGTGAATTTACTATTGGCTTTCAAGGTTTTATTAGCAGACTTTCATGCACTGCAAGGCAGGTTCTGTTGATGAACAGCATGGTTATCACTGAGCCTGTAAAATAAACAATCTAATGGGACCACAAAGATTTGCTGATACTCCATTTTAATGGAGTTAAATAAGCCCTTTGTATAAAGAACCTAACACCAGAACAAGAACTTGTCCTTCTGTTCTTACATTATGCTGCTGCCGCCATTCAGAATATTCCTTCTAAACTAAAAAATTAATTAAAAAAAATAAAATAAGGTAAATAGAATGTCATCATTTAGTTTTCCAACAAGATAAAGCACACTACAATTAGTGTTACTAGGTATTTCTGGTAATACTACACAACAAAAAATTACATCAAATTTCTTTTTCTCTCTCATATAATGCTCTTTCAGAAAGAACAATGGGAAAAATRTTCCTATACACAAATRAAATCACAAAAAAKTGTCTTCAAAGTCTAGAGATAAGGTTTATTTTACCCAAGCTCACTTTAGGAAACAAGAAAAAACCCCGTATGTACCATTTTACCCTTATCCCTTTCTCTGTCAGATAAATCATAAGTAGTATTATGACAGTGTTTCTCAGCTTCAAAATCAAATTAGCAACATGAACTCTGTGTCAAACAAAAGAACAAAACCCACAGGAATCAATGGGCATTCTCATATCACACTACTAGTGGGCAATTAGCAAAGAGAAACAGAAGGATGACCATGCTCAGACTTTGACTAGGTAAACAAAGCTGATCTGTAAAATAGATTTATAAATAAATGTAGTTTAAAGTATCAATAGAAATTGTGTGTGCCATTTGGTCTTTCATTCACTAAGCACATCGATCTTTGCAAACACGATTCTGACTAATGAGCTGTGTTAAGTGGMTCTTGGATTCTTATTTTGTTCCTGTATGAAAGATCGGGACTCACAGAAGCCGATTAAAGAAACAAAAGCTTCAGTGCTTCAGCACTCAACTATCAGCTTCTCAACCTAGTCTCTAGAACAATTCTCATTTATTTACTTAAAGATTACAAATCCTATWTAAGAGCTTGCCTGAAGTAGGTTATGTCATCTCAAATGGAAGAAGTACGCAGATGCAGAGTTCCCAGACAGAGGAGTTCACTATGAAGTACTCTTTGAAAATACGCTGAAAACTACTAATGAAGGCTGCACCACTTCCAACCCTYCAAGTATTAATTCAAACAGTGAATCATTTACTTGTTCTAAGAAAAAAACAGCATGTCAAGATGCAGAAACAATTGCTTCAGCTTTGCTTGGAGCTTTCATTGAAAACATTTGCGGTTAAGTTTTATTGATTTAGTTSGGTCCATCCAGGTATTGAAAAATAAGTAAAATTATTCTATCTAATTCACCTTTAAAATGGATCACAAAATACAGTTTTCTTCCAAAAATAAGAGCATGTACCAATTTTAAGATTGAATATCAACAATGGTTCTTACAACAAACCAGGTAATTCACTGTAGAATAGGCACCTTTTTTTCAAAAGGTTTCTTGACACTTTGTATATTTGGCTCAACAAAACTTTTTTTAAAAAGGTCTTTTGCTGCCAGGCAGAACAGAGGCATTATTTAAAAGTGAGGTGACACATCAAGAAGCAGCTCCATCACTGGACAAACCAGTGTATGTTTTGATACAAAATCTTCTGAATTCCAAGACTTGTTCYAGGCTTTCAGCACTTYWATGGCAAATAAACACCTTTTATAGRCCAACAATGCAAYGTGGTAACAATACACATTGCCTTGCCTGAGAAAGTAACACTTTTCTTTCACTTCAGTGTCAACTTTGCTTCAACCCCAATAGTCATAACTTGATTCTACCTTTGTACCAGAGAAAATGGAAGAACTTTAGCTTGTATTTTTGGCAGTACTCCTCTTCAAAAATCACTCAGCACACATTGATTGTACTCAACAGAAATCAAGGCGAAGTTTTGTAAATCCCTGGAAATGTTCCATTCTGAAWTTCTAAAGCCGCTTGCTTTGGGTATGATGAACAAATTGTCTTACAACAGTCTACACTGTGCATATGGTTGGCAGGGAGGATYTGTAATCTTCTCAGCTGAAAACAGTAGCTTCATCCTTTTAGCTCGAATAAAAATGCTAGAACTCCAATTATTCCTTGATAGGCAATTTCCAATTTCAAGCCACATCTGTTTAAAATTTCTTTTTCCTAATCCATTCAAGAAGTGTTATCACAACACTACAAAAAGCAATGGAAAAAGTAACTTCATGTTTTGCAATGAAAAACAAACAAAAACCCCCTATGAAACGCAAGCTATGAAAGAAATTGCTAAACACAAGGAAATAAATGGAACTCAGTACAAAGTGGGGAAAACAGAAGCCTTAAATACATAGTACCTCACACACACACCAATTCCTCATTATTAATCATAAAACTGTGCTAGAACAAAGATTTTCCACAGTAGTTTTAGAAGTCAAAAATTAAGTTAGGTTGTGAGTGATCTATTATATTTATTTTGTCACATTGTTTGCCTTGTTGGGAATGAATATGTATTAGATGCATTTATTTTGTCACCGTTTCGCAAACCACAGGCTGGGCACTGGTGATGAAACACGAGTATTCTGTCACCTTCCAAGTGAATGTCCCCATGGAGCTGCAGCTGTCCAGCTACAGCACAGCTCACTTCTGTGAGGCTTTGTGAGCATTAATTATCCTCTGTCGTTTTTCCCTGTTTCTGATCCTGTTTTCTTCATACTGGAAGACAGATAAGGAAATTAACAGATCAGCTGTTATCATTAAATAGATATGTCAAATTTAAAACTGTAGGGAGCATCTTTTACCCAGGAACAGAAACAATATATTTGACTGATGTGTTAGAAATATAGCCCTTAATATCTACATATAGGTTCATTTTYACTTTGAAATTAACATTTATTCCATTAAAATACAGGTTTCTAAGTTTGAGGTTATTAAGCTAAAGGGTATTAGAACATTCTAATAAAGAAGATTCAGKTAATCTTAAGGAAGAACTCAATTATAATTATACAGTGATCTAACATATGACAGCTACACTTCCCAGGTGAACTAGGAAAAAAAAAGTTGCACTTGTGCTATTCCAGAGCACAGGTCAGGTTCTTTTCCTTTTGCAAGATACTGATTAATGTGTGTCTGCCTTCTGAAACATAAATTTGTCATCACAGACTTTGTCTATTTTTGATCCCGGTCATTAATTATACGCACAGATAAAGCAGGATATCAAGATAAAAGGAACAAAGGCAAATTTGGATTGAATGAGGGTAAGGCATGTGAGGATTTTTAATGGTTTAAACAAGAACCACAACAGAGGCAGGCAGGACTGCAGCGTAAAATGGAATCAAGAAAGCCTTCCCAGTCAAGATACACATGTAAGACCACCATGCTTTCAAAYATACCCCTGTACTAGCAGAAACTTGAAGAGATTTTCTTTCATTGCAACCAAAAAGGAAACATTTTCACGGCTCAAATAAATGAAAAATTAAAAATCAATGCATCATTTGATACGTATTTCATGAGAAGCAAATTATTCTTGTCCTTAGGTTAGAGCATATRTTTGTTCAATTTTTTAACAACTGGTATCAAGAATAAAACCCAAGTAAGCCACAAATATTCAGTTCTCYATATAATGTAATAAACTACTAAAGAAATTGATTTTGGAAAGGATTTCCAGTTTTTCATCCATTATACTGATTGGTCTATAACTGAAATAATGACCCAAACATTACTTAACATTTACAGAGTATTTAAGTTTTTCCCTTGCCAATATTTAGTTTTTCAATAACCCAWCCATGTTTTTATGCAGAATGAGAACAATGAATCTTTAAAAGCTACATCTGTAGCTATTCAATATTTTTGAACAACCTTTCACGATCTTCCTAGTAATGGTATATCAATATAGGCACTTTTTAAGAAGGCAGGCAAATACAATCAAGAACTCCTTTAATGTAAAGGCTTCAATGGAAAAAAAGAAATAGGAATAATCAGATTATGTGGAAAGAAACTTCTTAGTATGGTGAAATTTATGTCAAAAATAGAACGTACAATTTCAAGTTAWAAGGTATGTGAAATGTTCATTTATGTGTTCTGCCATGTAGGCACAACCACCATAAAAATAAAGAACAGTTGACTCTTCTGAAAATGTGCCTATTAAGACAGTTAATCCACTTAAACTCCCATAGTCCTCATTCCTTCATATCTGCAGATGTAGTACAGCAATATTTTCATTTAGGGACTAACTCAGCAACTCATTAAGTAGTTTCAGTCAGGATAACTGACTTCAGCTTCAAGTGTTACTTTTTTATGCAGAAGTGACCATTACTGCTTTCTATTTAATTCCGTGCAAATACCACTACCAAAAAAATTAAGAAAAAAGTCAGAAGCAATCTGTGAAGTGTCAGTATCTGCAATATTTGTTCCATTAAAATGTGTTTGCCTATTTTTGTATATCAAAAAATACACCATACCATTTGCTAATGCCAGATTTTACTTGACAAATTTATCAAAAAAAGTTTAAATTTGGTCTCAARTGCCCACACCACAATGTGCTTACATTAATTGATTTGTACTACTTAGTWAAAAACAACTCTAGTTCTCTCCCATTTTTTATTAAGCATTTAAGTCACAGTAAATTTATTGCTCACCTCTTTTTTTAAGCACTTCCGCATCTCACGGTCAATATCATTGCAATGGCCAAAAAACTTCAAAACGTTGTGCTGATGAKTTAAGGAGAAATAAAAATTACAATTCAAAGGTTTCTTCCTCTGAAGCTCTAAATTTATTTCAATTTGTTTGCATTTTTCAACATATCCTGATTTTCTTTTCCTTTCCCTTTTTTGTGAAAAATAATGTTTGGCAACTTTTTTCCCCAAGTAGGCAGAATTTTGAGCTGCTCCTGAAGTTCACTTGAGCCACCCCTGCCTTGCTGRAAGTTGAAGGTACTCACAGTGTTGTATAACCAGACTAAAGCAGGACACCTAAGCTGAAGCTGTTGTCTAAAAGCAGAACATACATTTCACTGATCTACAACTCAGTGTAGTAACTCTCACTCACACTAGCTTAAACAATGCACAAAAAAATAAATATACTGAACTCCAGTATGGAGGCAGCATCCTCCCTGCTTCAGTTTTCATTATTTCTTCATGACCTAGAGAGGCAAATTCACTGCTCCATGAAGAATATGGTGGTGGTCCAGAAGATGCAGGCACTAGGTTTAATTGACTGGTATGTTAGAAACAGTTAAAAAATTTCTCTTGATCTTGAGGTTAATAAGTAGGATGCATTTCCCATTTTTATGGCACAGCTCAGCTGTGGGCCTTACGCACATTTAAGTTTCTTAGTTTCTGAAAAAGTGCAGGCCTTGTCCTCATGAGGGCCCTCCCCAGCTACCAGGATGATATTCACCATAAAAATCTTTCATCTTAGCCCRGATTTCCTAAAGCAATTCCATACTATCAGGCATTAAAACACTCTCACAATGCATGGTTTTGGAAGGATTGCTTCTTCAGGGGGATGCTTGCTGATATGCCACAGAATCTCATGGCAGAACCTGGCAGCAGAGCATCCAAGTGATTTAGAAGATCTGAAGGAACGCAGGTTTTGATAGATACTTGMAGCTACACAATCAATGGAAACAACTTGGCCAATCTTGCAGAGAACTAATGAATTAAAATAACWAAGACTACAAAGAAGAAAACAGATGAGAATACAGTCACTTCCATATTTCAGAGGCAAACCTATGTGCATTTCCATGGCTGACCAGCTTGGGTGAATTTATGCAAGTGACACAGGAAGACTATTAAAGAGGTATGAACAAGACCTCAGCCAACAGAACATGACTGGAAGTAGGAGTGGGTTAATAAAGTTTATGACAAACACTCAACTACAKCTATAATTAGCTTGTTTATACCTCTGTGATATATAAAGGGCATCAGATGACTCTGAGGCAGTTRCATGCAATAAATGGTCACTTTACTGCAYGCTGATCTTGCTTTTACAACATTGTCATTTCACCTAATACAGATTTAATTTTGTATTCTACTCCTATACCTGCATGTGAAATTTCAAGGTGAGCGCTCACATTTCAAGCTAACTCCATTCTCAGTAGTGCATACAATAGGTTTAATCTATGTTTATTTAGCAGGATTCCTAACATGTCAACTTCTTGGCTGAGATTATGAGGAAAAATAAGAATCAGTTTCTCAAAAATAMCTATTATACCTATTACAGTGATAMAATTGCAAGACAATGCACACTTCTTTGAGCTGCTACCTATAAAAATTAGTCTATTTATAGCACATACTTGGCACCAGAGTGGAGTTATTAAAATAAAAAGTGACATCAAATAGGAATGCCATTAACCTCTCCTCACTAGATACAAAACCTGATATACAGGGCAGGTTCTAGATTAGGGATAAAGTAAATCAAATTGACTGCTGAAAAAATGGACATCCAATTAAAAAATAATAAATAATGTTTTTTTATCCCTCTGGAATGGTGATTTAAATTGTAGATGAAGGTTCTTTGGACATTTTGGTGTTAYAAGAAAACAGCAAGCAGTTATTGGTAACTCATTAAGATCACTGACTTCAGATTTCAGTGACTTCAATTTAAAAAGAATATTTCAGTACATCCCCCTTGAATTTCATATGAAAAAGTAWTGCCCCCTTTCAACTGAGTGTAAAAGAAGTCATCCTCACCCTTTTTGTTCTGAGACTGCCAGCACAAATATCCTCTCCCAGCTGAGCACAAGACTGACAATAGTAATTCCTCTTCATTTAAAGATCAACCTCAAACAAAACCAAGACAATATAATTCTGTGCATGACTATTATTGCTGCTCCTAGTCCCTTCATAAGTCAGATTGACAATAGATTCCTTTGAATCACTTGCTRCCAAAGAAGTTCAAGTGCACTTTTTAGTTCCAGTTCTCAAGGCAGTCTAATAAGCTACGTCATACAACAAGTCCATSACACTGCTATCTTGACATTCATTTAAAACAAAAAAAACCTTGACCACAAAGTGCCAGCCAACCATTACTTTCAAGTAGTAAATCAAAACTGCTGCATTCCTACTTAAGGCACAGAAAGCCCTACTATGTATGTACCAAATAGCTGGACAAATCTGAATGTATTTTCTTTCCTGATTAGATTTGTTTTCACAGTTATATGAAAATAATTACAACAGTTTAATATTATATTGCCTATATACTGCCTATTCTCCTCCTAAGTGATGATCATTTGGCAATACTTTTTATACTGCAGTAGTTAATGCACAAGAAGTTATCTTACTTAATTCTAGCTAGTGAACACTTACCTACATTACAACATTAAAGTTGCTGGAAAAAATCAATTTAAAAAAGGAAGAAAAAAGTCTCTATAAGCTCTCATATTACCTAAAGCGTTTTTAGGCAAATTAAAATTTCTGAACTCAGAAAAAAGCATAATTCCTACATTTAATACAACTATTAGTTTTAAAGCTTGGAGATGTCCTATACAGGAGCAGTGGAATGGGAAGTACCACCTAAGGGATCATATCAGCAGACTCCAGTGTGTTTATGTTTCAAGATACTGCACTCCAAGTGCCAACAAAAACAAATTACATGTTGCTGAAGAAAACCAGTACAACATACTCCCTGCAAATGAATTTGTGTTAAAACTCTGCTCCCTTCACTGCTGTAATTTGGAAATCATAACAAAGTGTGATGCTGAAAATGTTTTTTATATATTACTTTAGCTACTCTAAAATCTTACAAAAATGTTATCCCTCTTTCGTATGAAACTGCTTCATTCACATTTTGTGAATTATCAGCCTTGTTTCCCATTCTATAATGACTTTGGAAAAGACTACAATTCTGCTCAAAATAGCAAAGCTAACATATGTATTGTCTTAGAATTTAACTAACTGCATTGGAAAAAAGTATCAACATCACAACTGAACATGGAGGTGAAAATATCATCRACTGCATGCAGTGGAGTAAATCATAGTTTTCACATTCATAGTCAACATTTAGATATATTTTTGTCTCAGGAGAAATTACAAAATTTAACTTTTTAATGCACTCATACAGCAAGAYTATCTCTACAATATGCTCTATTTAGAGCATATTGGGAAAATAATTAACAACATTGCAATGATGCTGCAGAAAGCTTTCATTGCAGGGGCCAAATCTACATCTAGAGACGCAGATGATGTAGATAAAGCMAATTTTTAGAAAGGCTTTTAAACAAGTGAGATGATAATTCCATTATCTCAAAGCAATGAAGAGCCTGAAGAACCCTAAAGACAATTTAGCATTTAATATCCTTGGGCAGGTGCCTATTAAGGAGATTGAAGTCAAGCAGTAATTCCCAATTTGCTCTCCAAGCACTGAATGTCAGGCATGAGGCTGTTGGGATCCCCAACAAACACATCTGCTTATAACCAGACTGAAGCATCTGCCCCAGGGACAGCTGGAATATGGAAAGGCCATGAGCACGCAAAAACAGGGCATTTGGAGCTGATTTTATTATTGTCTTTTGAGGACCAAACATCACTAAGAGGTGCAGAAGTTATTTCAGTCCTTAAAATAGGTYCCTAAGTGTTAATCTATAGCACAGAAAATTTTAAAGTATGTTRTATTTCCTAAATAAATCACTGGCAAGATTTTACAGTCATCAGATACTGCTTCAGTGAAAACACACCAGCTATATTTCATGGCTGTTCTGCCTAGAGGAGGGTTTTCTCTTCATGATCACATMATATCATCACTAATTTATCTGACACTCATTTCCCCAACCCACCCACTCCTTCCTCTGCTCAACACTCCTTACCTCCTTGTGACACTTCTTGAGCAGACTGATAATTAGGTTACACTCTTCAGTGTGCAGATGAGGAGACAGGTCTGGATGCATCTTTAGTTAGGGTTGATTTTAGTAGCACAAGCACAAGAATCTGAGAAAATTTCCACCTGCCAAMATTAAAATAGTGTAACTAGCAMGTCTGATTTAATGTATTTTATCACAGTGTTATTTTAACAAAAAATATTTTAGATCAAAATGCAGTTTAATGTGTATAATTTATATTACACAGTTACAGTCATTAAACCCAGCACATCTGATCTTCTACATAACCCAAATGTTAACAGTCAGCCAGGAGGTCATAATCTTGTCTATCATGGACATAAGCAGGCAGCTGGGATTTTAATTTTCAGGTRCTCTCTAGCAGCATTGATCTTTCTTGAACTCCAGATTATCTTTTCACTTCCATACTTCAATTTTCTGCTTTCTCACTTTAAAAAGGTAAGTGCATGGGRTTTTCTTTCTACTTTCTAAAAAGATTACAACAGGAAGGACAATGRTACTTCATTACAGCACTCTAAGAACTGCATCTTTTTTAGTTATCTACACACTCTTAAAAAATCCTAATCCAAACACTGGTGATGCTTTAAAAATCGGTACTTAATCACTTCATCAAAACAGYAATGATTTTTTTTCTTTTAAATCACTCAGAATTGAAATGTCCCTTCTTGCAATTCCATGCTGTTGCCTCTTGCCTTTCACTGYGCTCCTTTGAAAAGCAAATGGACTGGTCTTCTACATGAATCCTCCCCTCCATCAGATAGTGGAAGGAAGCACTTAGGTTTCCCTCGAGCTTCTCTTTGGAACACTAAAGGACCCCCACATCCTTTCCTGCAGGATTCTGTGGGGAGGGAGCAAGTTCTTCAGTTGAAATGGATTGAAAGAATCATATRACACTGGCTGAAAGAAGATATCTCTGTTCAGGAAGATCACTTCACCAGGGAGGGGAGAAGAAAAGTCCAGTTCATACTCGGACAAATGAGCTAATCTTCGCAAAATTTTATTTTTATGGCCCATACTGCCACTGAATTASAGACGCCTGGTTCATTGTTTACTTAGTATTTTGTCATTTCGCCTTCTCCCAAAGGGATCACCTTTCCAGCTGCAGTACATCAGTCAAACACCACTACAACTTGTACCAAGCAGCCATCACTGTCTTAACACTCCTGCTAGAYGTACTGGACAAATACAAGTAGCCAATGATCAGATTTTACAATTACAAAATCCCMAAATTCAGCTGCAGGGGTGACAGCTATAATCTACACTGCTATTCCTAGAATGGAGAGGAATATATTAAGCTCAAAAAGGCCCATACACTTACATACCCAGTACTTCCCATCATGTGTTCAGTTTAACAGGAGTTTGATTCCCACAAGCAAACTAAATTTTTAAAATCCAAACATTTAAAAGCCTCTTGAGAMCCATGAGAATATTCCACATAGTATTGCAAACATGCCTAGTGATTTCTTTCAAAAACCTTCCCYCATACTAACTGRAAATCTARTATTACACTACATTTACTCTTAGSAYAGAACTTGTTGGAATCKGTACAAGTTGCTTAAGCATTCTTTTCAACAAATTAACAAATGAACCTTTAGAAATATGACAGCAAGAGCAYGAYTGTAACAGCAAAGTGATTAAGAACCCTGCTGTGTTAYTGCCACCAGCTTTTGATTGCATGCCACACAAAGTCARTATGTTTTAAATTTATCAGTAGAGCTTTTTTGATAGCTCTGGAGTTAGCATTCCCCTGAGAGGGTGACCTGCTCAATAGCTGTGTGTTACTTTAACATGTGTGAACCCAAATGATTATTAAACCTCTTCATCATTCAGCCTCTGCCTGCACTTCCTAAAACTGTCATCCGACTGCAGAGCTGGCAGTCTCAGGAGAAAGCAAGAGCAGTGTCTAATGAAACAYGGAATGCACATCAGCACAGGCCAGAAAGTCAAATGCAGCAGTTAAAGGAAAGAGTCATTATTTCTAAACTAAGATTAGTAATCAAAGCCATTGTTTACAAAATTATTCTCAGATCATGGATGAAACCCATCAGTGCCACCAACAATGCTTCATCAATTAAAAAACTTSTAAGAAGTCCAACATATTTTCCAATGGCACCTCTTGTAAGATAAATGCTACAACTCAAAGATCTTAACTGTCAAACTAGCTCATACATCAGTACTCCTGAAATTTTCAAATAACATTTAATATTAGAATGCTTCATGTTCACTTACTAGCACTCAGTTAACGTAGATTACATTGGGCTAAGTAACAAAAACGTCTTTCTGTGCTCTTGGAAGGCTTCCCTGGAGCCTTTAAGCACTTGTGAAGTTATGTTGGAGCAGTGTTATCAGTGCTCAATATTAAACTGATGTTTAGAAATGTCAGATTAGACAGTGATCTATTAATGATCAGAGATGGCAAAAATCTTTTTGCTGGATCAGAATGACTCTGATAGACAAAAGAGTTCCAAGAGGAACAACAATATGTGTGAAGAAAGGATATTGGTTTCCATAGTTTCGTTTTAATAGCATTGTAATGAAAAGTAAGAATTGCAAGTTGCCATCTCACCAGAATTTAAGTCCAAATGGGCACAATTTTATATAGGTGGTAGTAAGGAATTGAAGTATAAAGGAACACTGGGAAAACAAACAAAAAAAAATCGCAGGAGGAAATTGTGAATAAGTAATACGAAATTTCTGTATGAGAAATACTAGCAGTGAAGTAAAAGACCATTATTTAGAAAGTGCAGGAATTGCTTTAGGACTGCAAAATGATAAGCAAATGTTAATATCTGAAGTGAGTATTTGGAGAGAAGTATTGAAATTTTCTCTTTACATAATGGCACATATTTTACTGGTTTGCACAGAAATGTTCTACCCTTTAATGTGTTTGATATGGGATTCCAMATTCATTGCTGCTTTTCCTTCCTTGTTAAAAATATCATTACRTAAGTATCTCAATGATTTGGTTAGAATACCTTAAAAATGCAAGTTTCTATAAACTATTAGCCTCTGAAGGTAGAAGACATGGATAAAGATAATTAATCTTTCAACTTCCTAAGCCAGTTTCTAAATCTATGCTATTCTTCAGGGAAAAAAAATAATTAAGAAATTGTCTCATTCCAGGATCATATTCTGTCTGCTTTCTCTTAAAGTAGGGAAAATAGAGGATATTCTGGCTTTATGGCTTCCAACATAAATCAGACTTTTCCTAAAAAATCAAAAGGCTAAAGCTGGAAATTCTCTAGTAATGATACTGAACTTCCAATCCTAATATTTCTGTTTGGAAACATAACAAGGTAATTCCTTGTGTAAGCAATCTTAAGTATATCAAATTTCCTAATAGCAATCAACATATAAATTATCAAAATGTGATACTTATCCCTAATCTGAAAATTGATCTATACATGTGTTCAGTACATTAAATATTTAATATTAATTGCAAAAGGAACCTACAGAATTCAAATAGACGTGCAGACATTAGGAAGTAGACAGAAACAAAGGGTGACCCAAAAGAGCAGGTAAGAACACTGTAGGAATTTCATTTACACTCCTGTTTGACACCAACATTTAGGATAAAGCGTTCATTTCTTTCCATGTGCCAGTTTCTCTTCCTGACTTTATAGCAAAAAGCAGCAAAAGCACCCAGCTATATGGAGAAACAAAGGGCTTGGTACATTCCCACTTCTTCCCAAAATGAAGTACAAGGTCAGCATGTCAGGAATCCAGGGAAGTTCCTCTCCTTTCYCAAAATCTCCCATAAATATGAACCAACCAGTTCCCTGATGCAGAAGGAAAACTAAATTAGGTTCCTTTAGTTTTGCTGATTAGCCTTAATGCTTAGTATTTCCATGCTTGAGGGACAACAATGAAAGGAAGGTTTAAATCTATATARTTGTTCCCTTAACATGCTTTTTCCATATTTAATTAAAATATGTTAGAAGACTACTTTTTAAACTGAGTTTTACCAGCTTTTTCCATTTGAAAATAAACAAACCTATTTTTYTTCAGCTTTCTAAAATCAATGGTAAAAAAACCCCGAACCACCTGAATTCCCRTACTGTTCAGAAAAATGATCTCTTAAAGCAAAATGCAAATCCCTGTTCAGCAACCCTGATGATGAAAAATTACATCTGAGCACCTACATTGCTAATGACAAAGCTCCTAAAGAAGAAATATAGGAATTTGCTTTCCACAGTGCCACAGAACAAACATTTGCTGCCAACACTCAAGTAACATCCACAAGGCGGCAGCAGGACCGTGAAAACCTGCATAGAAACATCAGGGAGCTCGAACCAACTTGCAATTCCTCTTAAGGCGAATCTAATCTCCATGTTTAACATTTATTTTCGCATTTAATGTCACGGTCTAGAATAAGACAAAACATCTGGAGTTTCACGTTCTCAGTTACACAGTATTGTTCTGTTTGGTGTTTGGAAAAATGTATTTACAATCCAAACAACTCAAATCCTTTTTCTAGAATTGTACAAATTTTTAGCATAAAAAAAGGATTCAGCTCCACACGTAACAGGCTGGTGTTACCTCAGAACTCTGCAGAACTCTTACATTCCTAGAATTATCTTTCATACACAAAGAATTTTGACAGTAGCTTTGAATACTCAGTGATCAGTGAAATGAGAAATCACAGTTGATGCACACACACATTTTGAAATACACCATTTCAAAACCCAAAGGGAACTCAAAACTCAGGACTTTGTTTCTACTTTTCAGTAATATCATCAACTTCTTCCAGATCAGGCTATTACAGTGTCACTGCTGTCCTAAGGGTGTGATCAGGCACATTGAGAATTACTCCAAAYTTTCCAGCATCTTCAAGAAATTTTAAAATCCACTTTAATAAACCAAGGTTAGCTAAATCTTATGAAACTTGCTCATGACCTCTTGAATTGCAGTCTCTATGCACTGCTTTTCCAACACTACTTAGAATGAAGGGAAATAATTTAGAAATGTATCTATGAAAACTAGCAAGGAAACAGAAGAAGAGTCAATTATGTCCACTTCCAGATCTTTTTAATGATGTAGAATGCACTTACTTTCCCTAAACCTAAAGAACAATATTTTTTTAAACRTTCACAAATAAGATCCATTTTATCYTTTTACATCACCACTTTCTGCCAACAGTTCAACATCCCTCACAGCAGCAGAATGTGCTCACCTGCTACTTTTAGTAGTAAGTRCCTGATAAAACTACATCGTACGTAATGTCATACTTGACAAATCAAGTTAGTCCTAAGGAATAGAGCAGGCTGAACACCAAACTGAATATTAATTTCAACGATTTTATTTAAGGCTGTAACAGATGCTCGAATAAAGCACATAAAGGTGTTTTCACTTCCTGGGAATTATTTAAGATCGTATTCATACAAGATAYATCAGAAGAGTTTTGGGGAAATTTGTGGGATATATTTATTATAACACAGAGTCAGTACCACTGCACAGTACAACAYGGTATCACAGATTACTAAAGGTGTCTCTTCCTATTCCTGCTCTGCCTATGAAGATAATATGCAGTTAAGAATTAAAGGATCCAGACAACTGGATCTAGTCATAACTAGTTTGAGCATAAAACTAAAGCACTGTCTAGTGGAAAGTTTCCCTGCCCGTGGCAGGGGATTGGAACAAGATGATCTTTAAAGGTCCTTTCTAACTCAACCCACCCCACCCTACGATTACATAAAGATAAGGTGCTGTCAACACATTCCTGTTTTGCCAGCTGCTCTTGTACTTCAGTTGCATCCACCACACTAGACTTCACATCTCTATTTCATTAATTTTCCAATGAAGAACWCTAGAAAGCCAGTAGAATCTTCCTGCTTACTGTAAAACAACTTTTCCCTTCAGAGAGAAAGGGAGCAAGAGGATCACTTTTCCATGCTGGAAAAGGCTTTGACAAATCGAGCAGCCAGATCCCGTGACGAAAGGCAGGTGGCACTCAGCAGAAAGTAAACATTGTTTAGTAAGAGGGCTCTGCCATGGGCTGCGAGGGATTGGGGCACCTGCTGTGTTACCAGGCAGGGGAGTTCCAGTGAACCAGCCCGCGCTGTCCTCAACTCCTCACTGCTCCCGGGAGGCCTTAAAAAAGCGACGGGACATACACAGACACAGGAAAAGCAGCTTACGGCAGCCACAACGGAGAGACCCCTGATTCTGCTCAGAACTGCCTTTCCAAAGCCCTCCGGGAGTTCCGGAGGACGGTGCGCGGCGAGCGAAAGGTCCCAGAATCCGCACCCAATCTCGGCTCGGCATAGCCCCCCCAAACCAGACGGCAGGRAGTGAAGAAGGCAAAAGGACGAGGGGAGCGTTGTCCTACACACCCTYTTTTCCCCGAAAATTTCCCTTTCCCGCTAGCGCTGCACAAGGCCGCCCCTCACTCACCCCGGTGCGGGGCGCACGCCGTCACTCGGCCAGCCCCAGCCGGAAGCCGCCTCAGAGCCAAGAGCGCGCACGGCGCAGGCGCCGATGAGGGGCGGGGCTTCAGGCGAGGAGCCTTGTGATTGGACGGTCGGGGCACAGGCGGTGTCTGATTGGTCGGTTTAAAAGGCGGGCTGCGCGGCGGCGGGAGCTGGACGGGTCGCGTCTATGGCCGCTGCCTGAGGGCCGCCGGCATTCCTCGGACCGGACAGACTGTAATAGACCCAGCGCCTCATCCYTGCACTCGCACCAGGCCTCGGTCGGTAAGGGAAACTCTTGAGAGCTTGAAGTTCAGCGTGGAAAGAGGAGACTGGGAGGGGGACTTGTCGCAGTATACGATTGTCTCATTAGGGGGAGTGGATGGGCAGGCACTGGTCTCTGGCGACCAGTGACAGGATCCCAGGGAATGGCATGAAGCTGTGTCAGAGGAGGTTTAGACTGGATGTCAGGAAAAGTTTTTCTTCCGGGTGGGGCGGGGATTGGGCACTGGAACAGGCATCCCAGGGCAGTGGTCAGAACATCAAGCCTGAGAGCTCAGCAAGTGTTTACACAACACTCTMGGGCACTTGGTGGAATTCTTGGGGTTTCCTGTGCAGGGCTGAGACTTGGACACTGATCCTTGTGGATCCTTTCCTGTCTCAGGGTGTTCTATGATTCAGTGATTTTGTGTAAGTTATTGCATGTATTTTAACTGTGTAAATCTGTGGTGGTGCTGCACTTAGGACTGACATTGTCAGCCAGTTGTGCCAAGGTGCAGCTCTGTACACCTTTGAAGGGAGCTGAGCCTCCCTGTATCTTGGTTTTATCATTTTTAACCTTTCAGCTTTCCAGGTGGTTCTGTCATGGATGAAACTGTGGCTGAGTATATCCGAAGAACTGTGCTAAAAATGCCAAGARRTGAAATGAAGACGATACTGCAGAAATGGGGTTTTCTCTCKGAGGCACAGCTGCAGACTCTGAATTTCCATCAGATGAAGGACAACATTTCTCAAGAAATTGTTCAACTCTGTGAGGTATGTCCTGTCCTTCAGAAATTGTTGGTGACATATAGGATG